AAAGGAGGATGGATTCAGTGAACTGACATTGGGAACACGTGAGATGGAGAATTTGAAAAGGACCAGGAATTGGAGACCAGGTATCTGCTTCTCCCAAATTATAGCAAGAGATAGGTTTACTCTCTGCAGCAGCTCTGGAAGAGAAGCCAGAGAAATTCCGGACTCACAAACACCAGGGAGTAGGGAGTAGGACCAAAACCAAGTGTAGTAAGTGATGATGAAACCTCCAGCCTCCTTCTCCTGCTGCACTTCCAGAATGCTATCAGCAGGTGTTCTACCCTCCAGACAGGAGACTGGAGGATTCTTCTCTAGGACAGCCCATAAATACTATTTTGATAAAATAGTTAAATATAAAAGGTAAAGTCTTTCTGGAAATGCTTCTTTTAATGAGGTGGATATCTCTCCCCCAAAGCCCATTAATTCATATATCCACGAACAATTCTTATTTCTAATTCTCATTTCTAGAATGAGACAGGATTCAGCATCACTTAATCTTCTTTTTTGGTTTTACAGACATAAGTGTTGAAAAAATTTGTTCACCTATATAAGTAGCTATGAATGGAAGGAATTTTGTTATGATATCACTCACTTCTTCTGAATTAAATCACATGGTGATCTAACATTAAACATTATTTTTAATGACCTATCAGTCAACAACTCAATTAGGAAAAGCCTTGGTTAACCAGCTATTGGAATCACTGACTTTAATTAAATGTTACCCTTTCACTTAGAGGTGCTTTGTCTCATTTACTCAGACACGGTTGGGAAAATAAAAATGTTAATTTTATACACCTTTGCCTTAATAATTATTTTTGATAAAAATGTCATTTTGATATTTTGATAGGCCAAGCAAGAAGCCTTGCTATGAAAGATTGTGCCACAGACTTAGATATTTCTTACCAAAGCTCTCTTTGCTTTGTTCTTAGGAACTCTTCCTTAAGACCTCTGCATTTTTTTTTTTTTTTAAATAATTAGGGGGAGTGGAACAAAGTCCTTAAATAAAACTAATACTTAGAACTGTCCTTTTGTTGGCATTCCTGAAGACGTTCACACCCTGGGGCAATATAGATTTCTACTGTACTACTAGAAAGATGTTCCTTTTCTGTAGTGGGAAATGGGCTACTATGAAAGTAGAGGAGGGAAATAACTAGCATTGAGCTGCATTCGCAAGCAGATCAATTTTAACATACATATGGGAATTGATGACCTGGAAAATGATTCCCTTAAAACTATCTGTGCCCATGTACCTCTTAGTGGGGATATTTGTACCTATCCCAGTTGGAAGACCACTGAGCCACACCAAGAAAGTGGAAAACATTACATACAAGAAGCCGGGGATTGTTACAGGTAATACGAGGGAGAGTGTGACAGGCCAACAGAGCAATCGCTCCAGAATGGAGTTAGAGGACAGAGGACTCCAGGACAGATGCCTCCAAGAAAAGATGGAACTGACAGATTACCTGATGTACTTGAAGGTATTGAGCAAGATTTTACATCCTTCTTGGAGTTTAGGGGTTTCGTTCTTCACCATTACTTATTGATGACCTTGGTAAAGCCTAGTGGTTAGACAGCTGAGAAAACAAATGTGGTACAAGAGAGGAGTTGTGAATAAGAAAGTCAGTCATCTTATTACATTAGAAACAGACACACTTAGAGGGCAAAAAATTGGTAGCAAATAAAAATGGTAGCAGTACATCAAAGACAAACATTTCCTGTTTTGCCAATAGAGGGTGTGACAATCAGGTCATGATTGCTGTGGCATGTGTGGCCTTGAGAGGGAGGAGTGGCTCAGTTCAGTAAGGTGAGATCAAGTAGAGGAAGCCAAAGATGAACTTGATGAAACTCTGCTATAATGGTGCCATAAAGCACAGAATCTGTAATCCATGTATTCTCTACTTTTTGATATGAGTTCATTATCTTTCTCAAAGGGTGGATCCTGGACTACTTGCAGCAGAATCACCTGGATTACCTATTAAAAATACAAAATCCTGTCCCTATTGCTATACATAGAATTGGGCGAGGGGGACTGATGAAATCCTGGAATCTGCATTTTAAACAAACACTTCAGAGGATTTTTATGTACTTTTGCGTTTGAAAGCTACTGCTTTAAGTCCTTAAATGGAAGTGCTGACTAACTGTAACTGGAAGTCGGATCCCTTTCCTACTCTGTGGAGCAGCCCTGGCAGGATCCAGCTCCAATTTTGCATGAGGCAAACACACTGCTGACTATTTGAGGCTCAGGGTTCCCCCAGGGCTAGACTTCCTGGAACCCTTCCTCTCCCACCACAGTGATTTAACTCAGTCTTCGGATTGTGGAGAAATGAATTTTTCATTTCCTTCTCCTCCTTTCCCCCAAATAGTATCTTCCTTTGAATTTTAACAGCTATTAAATCAGTGCAGACATCCTGTTGGACCTTCAAACTTCTTAAAATAGATGCTACCTGTGCTTTAAAAATTTCAACTAAATCAACATTTATTAAATACCCATACAGGGCCCTACCTAGGTTGGGTGCTACAGCATACACTATTGAAATGAAGACTCAAAAGCTCTGATTATGGCAGCAATTAGGAGGTTTTCATCTCAGTCCGACGGCCCAGCACGTCAGTTCCATGCAGTCCATTTTCAGAATGGAGAGAAAAACAGCAGGGTCAAGGCACTTGGATTATATCATGGATGCCTCAAGTTCAGGGACGTCTGAGAACCCGAGATAAAGCTGATATGGATCAACCCCCTTGGGAGCAGCGCTTCTTAGAGCACTAAAGTGGACAGACCAACCCAAATCCCTAGTTGGATTCCAACTAAGAGTCCTGCCACCTGAGGGACAGATGAGTGGCCATATGCCTTCACATCTGGTTGCCTCCACAATGAGTAAGAACACTGGTCAGACATCTAAATCACAGCAGGAAAAAAAAAAATCTTTCTCTGTTGGTAGCAATTTGTTCCATCAAGACACTAAGAAAATTAAAGACTAACATTTTTTAGAAAGTATTTTGGTATTTACATTTGTTTATTATCTAAAAGCAACTTTTATGAGCAGGTCTCAGGAAATCTTGGTAAAATTATGTGCCAAAAACATTCTTTTTGAAGAACTCTGGCTAATAATATTCATTTTGGCAAACAGCCTTATTTTGCTGCTACTAATACTTGCAACAAACGCACCCTAGATTATTAAAAATTATTTTTTCTTAGAAAACCATAATTCAGGGAGTCAAGCCTGACGGCAAGAAGGAATGGAGTTGAGGAGTACTGCTAATTTTTCAAGGCTGACCCTGAAGGCATCAGTGTTGGGTTACTTTTATTTTATTTTTTAATAAGGAAGAAAAGAAAGAAATTGGGATTTTTTTTTTAAGGGAAAGAAAGAGGAAGAAAGAAGAGAACACGAAAGGGTTATTGATTTATTTTTAAAAGAGAATACAAAGAGCCTTAGCTGGTTTAGGTCTTTGTGTATACATTTGTTTCTACTTCCTCACTGGACAGCCTCTGTCACAAACACTTGTGCCAAATTCCATCCAGATCCTGATTTGCATAGCTCTCTTTTACGCCAAAAAACAAATCAGGGCTAAGTCTTCTGGGGGAGGATGCAAAGAAAGACTGGAGAATATTCTAGCTGATGAAAAGTGTTTTAAACATCCTTTTCCAAATTCCCAAGACTGCCTTTCTAAAAGCACTCTCTAACATTCTTATTTTAATATCCTCTTTCAGCATACCTTGAATTCCAAAGTACTTCTGAAATTTAATTAAAATGGAATAGAAAGTAAATTTAGTGTTTTTTTCCTAGTTTTAAAATCAGAAGCTGAAACTTTGTATTTATTGTTACTGTATTTTAATATGGAACAAAACCAGGAGTGCAGAGGCCTGCAGCAGAGGCAGAGAGAGAATGTGGGTGAAAAGGTGTTGTTGAATAAGGCAACAAATTACAGTTTTTGGAAACTAGGTTTATATATTAAAGAAGAACTGGGGAAGAGAGAAATCAAGAAGCAAAAAAAAAAAACATGGGTAAAAAAAGTAACGACAGGGGCTGGCCCCGTGGCATAGCAGTTGGGTACACGCGCTCCACTTCAGCGGCCCGGCGGGGGGGTTCATGGGTTCGGATCCTGGGCGCGCAACGATGCACCACTTGTCAGGCCATGCTGTGGCGGCGTCCCATACAAAGTAGAGGAAGATGGGCACGGATGTTAGCCCAGGGCCAGTCTTCCTCAGAAACAAGAGGAGGATTGGCATCGGATGTTAGCTCAGGGCTAATCTTCCTCACACACACACGAAAAAGTAATGATCAACAATTATGCATATACACACACATCACCCTCCCCCAAAATTTTGGATTATGAAATCCAAGAACCCTAGTCCATAATTCATGTAAATGTGTTGCTCTGGAACTTATTTTTACTTCTCCCCATAAGTACATTGTTGACACAAAGAAAGATATTCTTAGTTTACGGACTATAGTTAAGGGACAATTCAAGAGTTGATTTTTCCTTCAAAAAAATAAAAACTGAAGAGGCTGTAAATCTCTCTTGCTGCCCTTGTGCAGGTCTTAGATTTCAGCCTCCCTATTTCCAAACAGAAAACAGTAAGAGAGTGCAGACAGCTGTAACCTAAAGAGTGAAGGATTTAGTGAGCCATCAATTTCTTGCAGAATTCTTCCTTTCTGGTACTGCTGTTCTCTATGTATTATTAATCTATTTATATTTAACTCCAGCTATTAGTCTGCCTCTTCCAGCCACTGAGCCATTTTCAAAGGAGAGGAGAGGGAGACAAGGGTTGCTATTATTAGGCATCTTTGTGTGTGATGAGGGTGGAGACAATTAAATAACACCATTTTGCTTCTTTGAAAATGACACAAATTATTTGGGGTGGACAACTCAGGGCTAGTTAATACAACCTTTACCTTCAAGAAGGTAAAACAATAGAGATACATTTCTGAGGTACTTAATTAAGCCTTCAGCAAGGAGTGTGGGAAAAATACAGACCCAAAATACCCTCCAGTTCTAGGCAAGAGTCAATTTTCTCTGCAGCTCTGTCACTGCTCATTTACTGCATCATTTTGACAACATCTCATATTTCCACAAGGCTTTTACATAATCTATAAACAGGGAAAGAAAGGTGAGGAACAGAGAGAATGGGGACAAAGTTGGGGACCCCACCCCCCACTGTCACTTCCTTTCGATTTTCCATTAAAGGGTGAGGCTGAAGGGTGGCATTTTAAGATGATTTCCTAAAAGGCTGAGACATTAATAATCGACATAGCAAGAAGAAAGCTGTGAAAAACTGCCACTGCTTGCTCACTCTTCCAAAAGATGAGTGCAATTCAGTCATAATGAAGGCTCTTCAATGTTCCTCCCCCAAACCTCTTTCGATCAGGAAAGCCTGGAATCTGTAGGCAAGAAAGATAATCGCATTAAGTCTCAAGCAGAGTTCAAATGCTAATAGCCTTTAAATTTTTTCCCTTAGTTTTTGTTTCTGTATGTTGCCTCTTGTTCCTTAAAGAAGCACTATTCTGAGGTTTTACTCAGAAAACCACAACAGATCAAATAAGAAAAATAAATTCTACCAAAATGGAAAACATTTGCCAACAAATTGGTGATAGAGTCACCTCAATCAGAGAGGATGAAGGTGAATCTTGTAACATTCACCTATTGGACTTTCATATGAATTATCTGTATTGTGGTAGACTCTGCATATATACCTTTGGAGTCTAAAACAAATGATTCTCTTCTATTATTTTATAATGTAAACTTATCCCATTTTTTTTGGTCTCTTAGACCCTTATTTTCCCTTGATCTGATTTTTTCTTTCTTATTTAACAGGACAGAAGAAACTCAGTTGCTTGTGCCTACAAAGGACTTCCCTCCACTTTTTTAAAATCACTTCTGAAAATAAGTTTGGAAATCACCAAATTTAGGAACCCATTTTATCAAGAAAAGATACCAACCTGATTACCATCTCTTAAAAAGTATCTCTTCTCTATGACCTGTGAGAAACAAATAAAGATTTTAAGGGTTTAGCACACATATCTGGAAAAAGTAGTTAACTGCAATGTCCACTGACAGGACTAAAAGGCATATATTCAAATTAAGAGTCTTTTTAATCGCTATAGACATCTAGTAAAATGAGTTAAACCTAGCGTTAATGAGATCAGGATTGTGGGAGTATTTCCATAAAAGTCTGCCTCATTCCAAAAAGCATTAATGATAGATAAAAAAATAAATTAACAAACAAAAATGACTAAATAATAAGAAAATGACATAAGATCCCATGCAATTTCTAGTGTATGGCAGGAAATTTGGCTCTAAATTTCCTAGCAGTCAGCCTCAAAAGCTACCAAAGAGAATCCATAAGATAAAAGCAGAGCACTCGTCTACTACAATAGTACAGCTCTTCCTACGGAGGAGGCTGTGTAACGTAATGAACAGTGATAAATTCTGTAGGTCCTCAATGGAGGTGGATGACACAACATCAACAGCAGTCAATTAGCTTCTTTTTATGGACTTAATCTGCACCCTTCTTCAGTAGTTTCAGAAGTATATTTGGTTAGTGGGAGAAACAAAGTGAAGCAGTAGATGTATCTGCACAAATCCATCAGCACTATGGAAAAGAAGCCCTCAAAGTATATGCCCTAATATAATGAATTTGCGAGCACCATATGTTCAGATGATGCAAAACTTTTTAAAAAATAATGAATTCTGTTCTAACACTTGAGAAACTACAATGGTTGCAGAGGCAGTATTATTTTCTTTACTTAGAGCTGTTGTGATTAAGAAAAGTTAATCAGATGAGAATACAAATTAGCTGGAGATTAACTCTAAGACATTGGAATCTAGAATTATGAAGCTAAGAATGCCTCTGAATAAGTGCAGAGCATCTTCTTCCAGGCCTGTGCCAGCTTGCTCGCACTGGCCTGACAGCCAAATCATTTGGATGCTTTCTATCTTTGTGACTACGGCTGGGTTACTTTTAGCCACAAGAGACCCAGGGTAAGGTGGCATTCACTGACCCCAGAGGTTTAGAAAAGTTGGTTCATGATTAGTACACATCTCAAAATACTCAACCCCACAAAAACCAAGAAGGGACTGATTCTCTTTCCTCTCTCCAGGGCAGCACAGGAATATCCTATCATGTAGAGTGGCGACGAATTACTACTAGCCAAAGGAGACTAGAGGAGGAGTTAGATTCCCTCTTGGAAAAGAAATCTTTACACTAAATTCTGGAAGATACGATGTAGAGAAAACTGGGTGAAATTTAGCTGCCAAGTGCCTTGGTTTCAGGTAACTACCTCAGTCTAGAGATCTGGCTAACCTCCTAATCCACATACTCTTTGTTGCGATTTAGGCAATGAAGAGAGAGGCTACCTTTTTGCTTTTGCTCATAATTCCCTACTTTCAACTTGCAATGTCCTTCCCTTACCAAATCTTGCTCTCTTAAAACCAACCAAGTTCCCTCTGATTTTTTTTTAATAAAGCCTTGCCTGACAACTTGGGTTACACTAGTCTATAACCCATTATTTCACTAGAATATAACTCATTACATTTTATTTTTTAATTTCAAAATTAACAAATTTAAAAATTTAAACAATATATTGTGGGGTCTTTCCATGTCAGACACATATCTCTAAGATGTTCATCTTAGGGGATGGAATTTTGTATCAGATGGGGGCCATAGATCTACACCAAATGAAAGTTCTTACATTTTAAGTTTGAAAACAACGTAGAGAGAAAATCTGGTTTCTTGCAGTGTTTCCCAACATTTTTCATGTCATGGCACATTTAGAAAATGCTAATATTTGTACAGCACACTGGGGTAAATGGAAGAGGCTGCCGGTCACCCAGCCCAGGGGGCTCTGGTTGCTCTGAGGACTGAGGGGATCAATATCTTGGCACACTTGTGCCCTATTTGCCACACAGCAGTTGGGAAGTTCTGCAATGAAGCAAAAATTTCCAAGTGATCTAATATTAAACAGGGAGGGGCATGGGGCTTATCTTATGCTGACATACTGGATAAAGGGCCAAATATTAGATCCTTAATTAGCTAAAAGAAAAATGATTAATAAAAAAGAGCTATGAGAAGAGAAATGTTTTTCTTGGGAGATTACACTTAAAAGGAACTATAATACAGAAATTAATCTTTCTCAATAATATATACAGAAACACATTCTATTTTACCTTACTACACAGTGTCAATATTGGGCAAACAACTTAAACTTGGGCAATACTACGTGCAATGCAGCCATATGGCCTTGTGAAGGAAAGACAAACAGTGCTCTAATTTCCCAGTACGCTGAGTCATTCTACATTCTCACTCCAGTTCAGGACAACAAGATGAAGCTAGCAAGTCAATAATTGGAATGCAAATGTTTCTGATGGGGAAAGATCAGGGAATCAAGAAGACAACATAACCTTAAAAGTAATAGTCATGTTTATGTGGAGAATATTAACAGCTGAGAGAGCAAAAAGAACTCAGGGCTTTACGCAGAATCTCCTCAGTTCAGTGCCTTTTGTGGCGGTTAGGAGGTGAATGAATACAAAGAAAGCTAGAAAACAGGAAAACATAAATTGTTCTAAGGAGGAGAATTAAGTATCTTTTAAAAAACCCCATTTAAATCCCGTAGCTTTCATCCTTTGCTTAGAGAACACTGCTGATAGAACAAATATGCCAGCAGGTCTTGAGCAATAAGATAAGACAACAGATAAGACAGATCAAAACAAGTATTATTCAGGCTGTGAAGTCTAAGACAAAGGAATAAAAGGACAAAGCATTCTACAAAAAATTTAAATTCTCATAATATATAAATTAAGTTTAAAAATAACTTAATTGAAGCCATTACCTTATCAAAAAACCTACTGAGCTTGACAGCATTGGAAGAGCCCGCAGCTAAATATCGTGGATTTGTGCAATCCTAGAAGATAAAACATAAGATCCACAATTAAAAGTTAGGAAACATAAGCTCTTTGTTAGTTACTACTGTTCCTGTTGCACATTTCTATAGTAAAATATTAGGCATAATACTCTCATAAAATATTCATGTAATTTTCAAATTATGATGTGCAAAGCAAAGAGAAAAGCACTAAAGGAAGATAAGGCTACTTTTGTTATTTAAGCAATTTTAGAGGACACTGAACATATTCATCATCAAATAATTCATAAAGGAAAACAAGTTGCTAATACCTTACTAATAACAAAACCAACATACTAATCAGGTGACCTACCTACATTTACCCTGAAAAGCAGACAGAGCCATTAAAAGCAGCAAACACTTCACTTTTTCGTACTAGTTACTGAATAATGCTCAACTAATTAAGTACTGTGCAGTTCATACGAATAGTAGGAAGCATGAATAAAGACTTAAGAAGAGCAAAGAATAAATAGAACAGTTGCCAGAGATTTCTCTCATTGACTGCAGGGCACTACATCTCTTGGTAGGCCATTAAAATAATAATAAACAGACATATTTTTTGATAATAAACAATAAGTTTGTTATTATTAAATATCATTAAGTATTATTATTTAATAATAATTAAGTAAACAATAATAAATAAGAGATATATTAAGTAGGATTTTTAAAAATAGGGAAAAAATGGGGCCCAGAAGAGACACCCCAATCTGGAACATCAAATCATTGTAATGATTTGATGTTCCTTAAAGGTTTATTATCCTTTTCCTGGAATTCCAGCGTTGTGTTGCCTTTGCTTGTCATCATTGACTTGCCACCTCAAGAGAGAATACAGTGACGCACCACATGACAACGTTTCCTTCAATGACGGATAGCATATACGACAGTGGTCCCATGGGATTAGTACCATACAGCCTAGGGGTGTAGTAGGCTATACCCTACAGGTTCGTTTAAGTACACTCTATGATGTTCTCACAAGGACGAACTTGTGAGAATGCATTTCTAACAAGGCATTTCTCACAATGCATTTCTCAGGATATATCCCCGTCAAATGACGTATGACTGTACTTTGATTTTTACCTCAAATGCCACCTAAGACCAAACTATGAGGATATCACATAGGCTTCTTTGCAAGAATGATATTTGTCTTTCAGTTGTAGATCATCTGTGTCCCTTGGGAAATTACTAAAATTACTGTTGTTGCATTTACTCTGTTTTGTAATCTCGAAGGCTATGTGATTCCTTTCCAATGAATTTGTAACAATCACCTATATTATCCATATACAACATTCCAAGACTCACATTTTAAAATTTGGCTGGAAACTATATAATACATTTCCCAAAACCACAATAAAAGAGACTACAACAAACTTTTCATAGATCACAGAGTACTAGAAAAATCAGAGGTCTTTGAAGCCAGCAAGCCCTGAATCAAATATCTGTCCCAAATTTCTAGACTGTGTGACATTGGTTAGGTTACTAAATCTTTAAAGTAGAGCTTGCTCATTTGTGAAATGGGGTAACCTCACTTATCCCATAGGATTTTTGTAAAAATTAAATGAGATAATGCATGTCTGGCACACAGAAGGTACTGAAATATTAGCTCCCTTCTCTCTTCTTTCCAAGAAAATGCTATCAGATTGAATTATCAGACACAAAAGCAGCTAACATAATAAAAGAAAATTCTATATATGGATTAAATAGACTGAACTATCATTGTGCAAACTGTTGTATTTGAAATAATGTTTGAACACATTTATACGGCAGTTGGGGCACATAAGAGAAAACCTTAAATAGACTTAATGGTAGATATGTTTTACAAAATGGATATTGATTACGTAGTCATCAGAGTGTCAAAAGACTTCAGAGATGATTTCAAATAGAGCTGAAGTACTAAACACAAAAACTAAATCAAGCAGCAAACAAAGTCTCCCCAAAACTTAAGTCTAAGGATCTACAATTTCAGGTTGACTAAGCTAGAGAAACCCAATGATTTTAGGATGAGAATCGTAAAGCTGAAAGAGCCATCTGCTATTGATCATGGCTGAAGGCAAAGCCTGAAAATTAATAGCTCTAAATAGCTTGTCTAAGCTTGAGAAAGGAATATTAACTAGGGAAGATGCTTCAATACGCTCACTTGGAAGTAAACACATAGACAAAAATTTGTACTAGAAAAAATAAACCTATCAGGATTTAAAAAAATAAGTAATCTTCTCCCTGTTCATAATTTAAACAATTTGCCTTTTTTCAGGCACAAGTTAACTTTGATTCCATCTTTGATGGATACACAAGTTATATTCTTACTTTTCTATAGTTTTAAGTAAATTCATACAGTAATCAAAGATGCTAGCACTAATATTGTTAATTAGTTTTTTAGTTGAGGCTTTATATTTACTTGCTGAGTCTTTTTGACTGCTAGCTCCTTTTGAAACTCTTATCCAATTCTCCTCTTCCTTTTTTCTTCCCTACACACTCAAGATCCTCTTGTTTCTGCTGTGTTCTTGAAGCAGATACTGATAACGGACAAAAGTATGTTGTACGTGAACTCTGTGGAGACAGTGTTTGCCAAAGTACCGCCACTCGAGTACCTTACATCTTGTTAACAATGAAACGATGACCCTACCTTTGCCAGTAAAGTAGGAAAAACATATCTAGGTGATTGTCACAGAAATCCACAGGCACTAGAAACAGATACATTCCAAAATACATTAAAAGTAATTACTGCAACGAATTAAGTGTATTCAATGGTCAATTTCCCTTTGGAAATAACGTTCAAATGAAGTAACCTCAGCACTTCTTCAACAAGGATATTATACATTCTAAGTAGCAAGAATCCTTTGGAATATCACGGTCCTGTGCTGACCACTTGGGGTATATGCTGAATATTCCATGGTGGCAGCTAAGAAAAATAAGGCACCTCCACTGCAAAGTAGAAGGTAAAAAACAATGGAATGGCAGACAGAAGCTGACTCATTTATTGGTGAGGTTGAACCAAGCGGTGTTCACAAATGTTGACCCACAGAGTAAGGGCATCAGAATCACCTGGGTCACTTGTTAAAATTACGGAGTCCTGGTCCTTCTGCCAGACCTTATGAATAAAAAGCTCCAGCTGTGGGGCAGCTATTCAAATTTTTTCACAGATACTGTTGGTAATATGAATATGCAGTCAGGTTTGGGTAACTGTTAATCTAGATGATTTCTAAGAGTTCTTTTAGCTCCAAGATTCTAAATGTTAGTTGAAGGATAATTAAGTGGAAAATAGGCTTAAATGTAGAGCACAGCCTCAGAAGTCAGAGTGCTTGGTTTGACCTGTGTAACCTTGGCCTAGTTAACTCTCTCTGCTTCTAGTCTTCATCTTTAAAAATGGGGATAATAACAGTACCTACCTTATAGGCATGATGTGAAGATAATGCATGTGAGATAATGTACGTAAAGCACTAGAACAGCGCTCAGCATGTAAGTGATCAATCGATGGTACCCATTGGTACTATGAAGCCACCACTCCCACCACACGTCTGAATGCCAGTGCATTGAATATGTGGCAGAAATCCTACTTGTGAACAATGACACATAAACCATGACTGAAGCTGCTGGCCAGAATCATTCTCTGGGCAACACTAAGTGGTTTATATGAGGACTTTTCTTAGCCTTTTTAGTGCCCAGTTCTAACTGAGCAAAATATCTCAGGGAAAGACTCAATCCTCTGTATACACGTAAGTTTATATAAACTAAGGCTTATGAACCACACCTGGTTCACAGTTTGTAATTTTCTCATTTATCTATTTGTTTGCCCTTTAAGGTAAATTCTGTAGTTTAAGAAGCTAAGAGGCTTTTCTAAAGAAATAATAATCAAGGTACAGTATCAATGACTTTCTTTGTCACCTTAATTTAATTATTTTTAAATTAATTAAATTATTTCGATTTTGGTATGATTTTTAAAAATCTTTTCAAGAAAAAGCCCATCATTTACATTATTCATAGAACAAAGTTTGAATACTACAACAGATCAGCATACAAGGAGGCTGAAGTGACTACGCACATCTGACAATCTATGTTGATTCCAATCTTCACTACATTTTGGACTAGAACTCAGCCTGATTTCAAGTATAAAGCTTCTTTTGCGAGAATATGTGACTTAGGAAGTCTTTGGTTTTGCCTTCACCTGATAATAATACAAAGATGCATTAGTGAAAATACACACCAAATTAATCTCTTCTGCATTGAAATCCTCGGCCAAGAAAGCAGTCCTGGTTAAAACTTCATGGCGCTTGTTTTCATGAATCTGGTCCAGTTTAGTCCCTATTACCAATAGTGGGATTTGGTTATCAGCAAACTGTTCCCGGTCATAATCCCTGTGATAAATAATAACGAAGAGGTGAAGAGAATTTACCTTTCTGATGTAGATATGTAATATTTAAATTCAGCTAGCTTATACTATTTGACTGATAATTCACTGATTCTTGGTCACCCATCACCAATAAAACTACTTTTCTCCCAATTTCTTCCATCTACTTGTTTATGTATCAATCCATCTTTACCATCCATGGAGTTCCAACTATTCATGTAACTACTCAAAATTTGTTCCCATGAGTCTTTCTAGACTACTTGAATAGCTGAGTGCCCACCAGGTGTACTAAAGTAGGTTAAACTGACTTCTCTCAAAGCTAACAGCTCAGGAATTTTTCTGCGCAGATGCAGAGAGTGGCTTCAAACCTCAGTGGAGAGAAGAAAACTCAGGAACCTAGCACGGCACTCAAGCCTTGTGCCAGAGGGGAAAATGGCAAGCTTCTAGGTGCTTTCTGGGGTATGTAAAAGCTCTATATCTACCATACACATTTCTGTCTATGAATAATAAAGAAAAATAGATCATTTCAGGAAAATAAGAAATAGGAATGCTGAAGGCCAGAAGAAATCAACCATAGGTGATGCTATAGCCTGGAGAAAGATGGATTCAACAAATGGGAAGGGAAGGAAACAGCTGAAATGCAAAATGAATAGTAAAAGGAAAGAATTAAGTACCAAATAGTTGTTTGTCCTGACACAAGAGCTGCGGGAGGCAGAGGACAGGCAATACGAATCATTTAGGGTTAGTGGTCTTGGGTCATTAGCTATTACAATCCTTTTCTTCTATTTTTACCCAAAGGACAGAGTGGTGTTCTTTCTATTACTGAAAAGAACATAGAGCCCAATGTTGCTGAATTAATTTAAATTCTATTCACATATGAGAAATAAAACAGATTTGGATTTCTGACATGTTATAAGCTCAATTTACAACAGTCAGCAAAATCTGGTTGTAAACACCTTATGACAGTAAATCAATATTGCATAATACAATCAATACAACTCGGTTGAGCACAGCTTTTTTCTTTCCTTTAACATTTCTTTCTCTTTGAATAATCTAAATTGGGGGTGTGTGCAAAAATTTCAAATCTTTTTGCCCTTCATAATAATCTTACAGAGCCTCAGTTACTGTTCAGCTTTGGAACACAAGTGTTTTGAACTATGTAACCTCCCATTTCATAAATATATTATCATTCTATTTAGTGCATCAAAGCCAATAATAAGTTGAGTTAAAGATCTTTGATTTTTCTTGCCAACATCAACCCTGACTTAGGAGAAATGGTCTAAAACTGAAATTTGCTTTATTAGAGAATAAAGTGTTGAGAGTGTCCCCCTTTTGGATTATTTCCTTTTCCTATACTCACTAACTCCGACTCACATGCAAATTTTTACATATATTTTTATCAAACGTCTTTGATACACATATATCTCTGTCATTTGTAGTCTTGCACAATCTCTTGCACATTAACATATCTAAGTATTATAAACGTAACATAACATATATGTGTTGCCATATATATATACAATTTATTCTCTTATTTCTCTTTTCAGCTTTCCTTTTTTCTCACTTTCATTAAATCTTACATACAATTTGAAACCAGATCTTTAGATTCTTTGTTTTGAAACCATTAGGTAAAAAACTAATGGATAGATAAGGCTGATAATACCTTAACACCATAAAGAGACAGACAACCAGGTATTGTATTACATGCACAATACCACCTTGGCAAAAACAAAAAACGTTGCATCTTTCAGACCACTATATTTAACTACCATTTTAGAGAAGATTTAGGATTCAGAGAAACAAATTTAACAGACATTACAGGGATACAATCAGCAAAATCCAGGATATACAAAACTCTACAGGGCAAACAAGACATCTTCTTTCACAAATAAACTGCTAGAGGGTAAAAAAAAAAAAAAAAGGAAGGGGAACTTAAGATCAAAAGAAACTTAAGAAACCAAACACAATGAGTGGACCTTATTTAGATACTGTTTTGAACAAACCAACATTTATGAGACATTTGGGGAAATTAAAATAATATGTGATATTAAAGACTTATTGTTAAATTTTAAGTGTGACAATTATATTTTGGTTATGTTCAAAAAGTCTTATCCTTTAAAGTTACACATTGAAATATATATAGACAAAATGATGTGATGTCTAGGATTTGCTTCAAAAAATAAATGGAGAGACATACTGTGTTTATGGATTGGAAAATGCAACAAAAATTCTCCCCAATTTGATCTATAGGTTTAATGTAATTCCAATCAAAATTCAAGCAGAATTTTTGTCAATATAGCATGCCGATTTCAATTTTATATGGAAAAGCAAATGAGCTAGAATAGCTAAACAATTTTGAAAAGGAATAAAGTGGAAGGAATCACACTAATTTTAAGACTTACTCTAATGCTACAATAATCAAGACATTGCTGAAGAGACAGACACACCGATCAACAGAACAGAATTAAGGAGTCTAGAAATAGACCCATATAAATATGGTCAACTGATTATTGGCAAAGGAGTAAAAGCAATTCAATGGAGAAAGGGTAATCTTGTCAACAAATGGTTTTGGAACAAATGGACATTCATACGCAAAAGTCAACCTCAACCAAAACTTCACACATTATAACTAATTCAAAAAGGATCACAGATCTACAAGCAAACTTAAAACTCTAAAACTTCCGGAAGAAACATAGCAAAACACCTACATGATCTGGGATTAGGCAAAAAGTTCTCAGACATGATACCAAAAGCATAATACCTAAAAGAAAAACTTGATAAATGAGACTTTATCAAAATGAAAAACCATTGCATTGTGAAAGACACTGTTAAGACAATAAGAAGAAAATCTACAGACTGGGAGAAAATATTTGCCAATCAAACATCTTACAAAGTGTTATTTTGGGTACATTCCTATGATTGCTGTAACATTTCAAACCAATTGTGAAGTAATCTGGGCTTACCCATTTGTTACCAAGACTCCAGTTGGCACCAAATCCCTGTTGAGAGCCTCCAATGACCAACGATACAAATTTTGGGATGACTTCTTATTTGTTAAGTCATGTACTAAAATAATACCTAAAATAATCAGAGAAAACATGTTGATATTCTAACAATTCCTCTTCATTTTACAATTGGCAAAGTGAGGCTTAGTAAATACAAGCATTAGGTTGCTTAACAAACCTAGTATTTTAGTATTACTAACAAACTCAGACACAATTATTTTAAAATTTCCTCTAGAAATTCTTACAAATGATTACCTACAAAATTTTCTTTGTCAGTTATGTAACTTTTTGTAATTCTACGAGGGCTGACAAAATGTCATTAAATTTTTAGAATGTCTTTTCTTTTCTTCTTCATTCAACACTTACTGAGTGCCTACTCTGCCTGGTCCTAATTGCAAAACTACCTCGTCAATAAACAGAAGCAAAACTACATCAAGTATATAAGAAATTATATTCATTCGAAAAGTTAACTGTTTCTGCACGGTGCCTAGTACTGTCACAGACATCATACATACACATATTACTTACATTCACCAAAAATATTAAATAAAAAATGCATTAAAATGGTATTGATTTAATTTGATACAATTTCTATTCTTTAGCTGACAAAATGTTTTCCTGTAGATCACCTGGGCCTAAAATCAACTCAAAAGTCTAATTTTTTAGTTCATTGAATTAATGCTTAGCTATGTAAGCTTGCCACCTACAAGAGATTTAGTTAATAGAGCAAAAGAAACATGCCAGAGAAGAAAGTAGGAAGAGACAGTCAAGAAATATGAATAATAGAAAATAGATGGACTTTTGAGAGATTGAGGAAAAATAACAAAATGTAATGAAGTTTAGAAATACAATTAAACAGAAGCAGTTAAGATCCTAGACAGAAAGGCAGAGCAGGTAATTATTACAATAAGATACAGACAAAAGAGGAAAGCTTTAATGCCTAGTGGAATTTAGGGTATCATCTTGTGGTCAAAAGACTACAGGTTTTCAAACCCCCAACCCTTTCGTATATTACCCAGATTCTACTGTGAAGAGAGGACAGGAAAATGATGATTCCTCCATCTTCAAGACGTGAGGTATGTCAATTGGAAAAAGAAGGGCAGAAGAGTTAGAATTATTTGGCTCCTCTAGTTTTTACAACGAAGGTGCTTGTGCAAGTTATAGTTGACTTGTTCCTCCTAGCTCAGATAAATCTGTATCACTCCTGGCATCTGGAACAAACAGAGATCTGACAGTTGCCCCCATATCCAACTGCACTCACTCTACCTTCCTCAATAAGAGGTTCTATTAGGCATCAAGGACACATGATAGAGGATAGACTTAAAAAAGGAATAAAGAGCTACCATAAAAGAATATAGCTAACATTTACTCAGCACTTATGTGCTACATATTGTGCTTTACACGTGTTATCTAATTTGATTTTCAGAACAGTCCTATGAGGTAAGAATTATTTTACCTCATTTTATACATGTGGAAACTGAGGCTCAGAGAGGTTGGGTAACTTGCCCTAGGTCACGTGGTAAGTGGGGGTAGCCAGAATTTGAACTCAGGTAACCTGACAGTAAAAGGCTGAGAGAAAGCAGAATCAAGTCTCACTTAAGACAAAGGAGTGGCAGATATTTTCTCCTCTCCCTATTTCCCAGGTATAAATATCACAAAATTATGGGTGAGACTTTTGGTTGGGAGGGTGAAAGGATTACAAAGGCCTAGATGAGCTATTAGATGGACTGGGAGGAGTTTGTCTTTTGAGGATCTCTATTTAAGGCTTTTGAGCTCTTAAGGGCATTTGAGTACCCTTTTCCTTACTCTCCCTCTTTCATTTGGTCTGAGAGTTCTTGCTTTGTAGACGATGAGGTGGGGCCCAGAGGAAAGAAGTCAGAGTGATAGTTGATCAGAATATGTTCTAATCTTAAGAGAGAGAGGTAGGACACTTTATAGGTTTCTTTTGGGGATTACCAGCCTAGTTCATCACAGTGGGAGGAAAGTAGCATACGGAGGGAAGAAAGTTATTGCTAAGAATAAAGACTGTGCATTTGAATGGAGTGATCCTTATGCTCTGTTTCTTAGGAGACTAAGAATGGTAGACGGAGTAAAGAACCTTGAGTGCTTCTACCAAGAGAAATGTTCCATTGCTAGGGTGAAAGAACACAGAAATTTGCTTTTATTAACAAGGATTTTTTTTAACCTTTAAGAAACAGGAATATATCTCAGTCTTATCTGTAAAACTAACATAGGATATACACAATTATTTCAATAATATTCAAGGACGAGACAAGTCACTAATGAATAGTTAGGTATAGAAAAATAATCAAATAAATGTGGATTTAGATGGATTTCTTCTTCAGTACTTAAGTTTGCAACTCAGAATTCCACAAAGTTTCTAGGATTTGAATGGTCTTTATTATTTATTTATAATTCTTATCTTAACTTCTTCTCAAAAAGATCTGAACAGTACAAGTGTTATATATCCAAACTTCTCTTTGCCAGATCAGATTGATACCAACTTTGACAAGTCATTTGGCTGATATAATCCAAGCTTATCACTTGATTCTAGGTCTAAACCAGGCTTCATTTCTTTCTCTCCTTTTCTCTAAAAAATCACCTAACATTATACCAGTCTTATCTGACTGTTTTTCTCATCCATATACATTCTATTAATATATGCCATTATCATGTACTTTCTTGCATGACGATGTCATATATTAACACCACCATCTTATAACAATGTTTTGTTTCATTTATGAATGTTCTGTTTCTTCAATTAGATTGTGAAACTTGTAGACAGAATTCTGAGCTAAATGGGACATAGGTCTGAACTAACACAACTCATCCTGTATTCTATACTATGTATCCAATAGCAAGAACCTTCTTTACTTCTTTTTGTAGTATCCACAACAGCTTATGATATGAGAAGATAAGCTATTGAAAGAAGAATATAAGGAGTTAAGAAGGTACTGAATGCAATGCTTCATTCAGTACTGAATGAGGTCTAAGCATAGTATAAATTAGGTCCTATTAATAGCTAAGCAAACACCTGGAGGGAAGGGGTGAGATGCCAAATCTTTTGGTACCTCAATCAAAGACAAGTTGAAATTATATTTCACAGTAAAAAGTGGCTTAAAGAATGAGCAGGATGTGAACCTATGACATACAACTATCTACTGGGGCTTTGGGGGGAAAAAAATGAATAAATAAAATCTTTAAAAAAAAAAAAAAAGTGGCTTAAAGAATGAATTAAAAAAAGAGAAGACGATAAAGAAACGCTATAGGTAAATTACAGGCGCCAGTGGTTTAGTCCCTTGATACAAAGTAGGAACTCTATGAACTGCAATTATGTGCTCTATTACACACCTCCACCTGGAAGTCTCCTCCAGGTATTTGAATATCTATAACTGGATGAAATTTCTGCACCCCTAAAAACACCATTAGGTAGCTGTTTATAATTACACAAGACTCCCTCCAAGGGAGAGATGAAAAAAATCTTTATCTTGGTGACATCTGGCTTATACTGTGGGACTCCTAATGGTTCTATTGTACCTACTCAACTGACTGGAGAACAGCACTCCCAGGGGACAGTGTTTTGAAAGTTCCACGTTTTACGTCAAGTACCCAAAATACAATTTTATTTCTCAATATTTAGCATATGACAATAATATAAATAGAAACACTTAGACAAAGCAAATATTTAACGTTCTGAATTACATGGTTAGAACCTAGAAACAAAATGGTATGTGATATGCAGATTTAAATTAAGAGTTGTGAGTAATCAGATCTTTCTTAAATTAAGATAAGTCCAGCATCCTACAGCATTCCATATCAGATGATCTATATTCCTAGACCATTAACAAATGGTAGAAATAAAAAATGCTTTACCATTTACAGAGTTGTAGAATACTGCTCTTGTGCTTTTTACACTGCTGGCACTGCCCACAGAGCCTCCAACATCCCATAATTCTATATAGTAGGTCTTCTCTTCTGGGGTTCCTTCTTTGTAGTCATGAACCTAACAAATCAATCCATCAAAATAATTATTATAGCCACTAAGAAAACTGATAAGCACTCTCATCCCAGTTTAAAGCATTGGACAGTCCATATCAGCATCTCACCCTCTGATCCTCTGACTACCACCTGCTATCTTTCAAGCTTCCTCCCTCTAATACTTCAACTCTAATGATAATCTTTGACCTCAGACGACCTAGTTAACTGATCCTAACACCTTTCAGGGCTCCCCCTTCCACTTCCAAATCCTCACTTCCTTCCTAACTAACCATAAATTCCATGATTCATTATTTTAGTGAAGAATCATATTGTATTCACCCGAAAAAAATTCCAACCCGATTACAGTCATGTGTCACTTAACGACAGGGACAAGTTCTGAGAAATGCATCGTTAGCCAATTTCGTCTTTGTGCAAACATCAGAGTGTACTTAAACAAACCTAGATGGTATAGCCTAGTACACACCTAGGCTATAAGGTATTAATCTTATGGGACCACCATCGTATATGTGTTATGTGGTGTACGACTATATATTCACCTTTTCCCTGATTCCATGTCTGCAACCCAGCTAGCTGAATGTGAAGCTCAGAAAAATACACATTCAAGTGGGCTGGATTCATTTTAAATTCCAGTGTACCTTTGGAGCTGCCCTTCAATCAGTTCCATAGTCCATTTCCTCTTTTCCTCTCCTAGATAACTCATACTTTCTTCTCTTTTTCAAATTTCCAATATCTCTTCCCTATTCTTAAGCACAGCTAATAACCTTGCTTCCTGAGACAGAAGCCATCAGAAGAGAACTTCTACAACCTGTTCTTCCCCTATCTATCCACCTCCTTGCATCTGTGCCCACATAATCTGCTTACCTCCAGCTATTATGGATAGGCTATCTGTGTCCCTAAGGCCAAATCCCCCTCTTGTGCATGAGATCCCATCTCCTCTTTCTTATCAAAGAAAGATAAGATTGGTGTAGCTCCACCAATTCTCCCCTCTCTCCCTTTCATCATCAAATTTTCCCTCTCTGTCAGATAATTCCCACCAGCACACAAACATGCCATAATTTTTCCTATCTTAAAAAAAAATCCTTCTCTTGACTTCATGCACCTTCTCCAGCTACCATGTCACTTCTCCATTCCTTTTTACAGCAAAGCCCTCCAAAGAGTTGTCTGTTCTCAACTGTCTCTAATTCTTTTCCTTACATTCTCTTCTGAACTCATTCCTGTCACACTTTTGCCCCAGTTACCCCACTGAACTATTCCTTGTCAAGGTCACCAACGGCCTCCACATTGCTAAATCCAATGATCAATGAACAGTTTACATCTTACTCTACCATTTGACACAACTAATCACTCCTCTGCCTTGCAATACTTTCTTCTCTTAGCTTCCAGGATATCATACTCTCCTGCTTTTCTTCCCACCTCTCTGGCTAATCCTTTTCAATCTCCATTTGGGTTGTCCTTATCCTTCTGAACTCATATTGTTGGAGTGCCTAAGGTTTAGTTCTTGGATCTCTTTTCTTCTCTCTCAACACCTGCTCTCTTGGCAATTTCATCTAATCTTACGATTCTAAATGTCATCATTATGTTGATGAATTCCAAATTTATATCTTTTCTGGACCAGTCCCTTGAACTTCAGACTACCATATCTACCAGACTACAATTTGGATGTCTAAAAGGGACCTCAAAATTAACATCTCAAAAAAAGTTTCCTTATTTTCCTCCCAAACCTAATTTCCTAGTTTTCTCTGTCTCAGTAAAATGCAATTCCATCCTTCCAGTTACTTGAAGGGCCAAAAACTTAAGAGTGATCCTTAACTCCTTTCATACTGCATATCTGACTTGTCAGCAAATCCTGTTGCTTTTGCCTTACATATATATCCAAAATTTGTTCATTTCTCACCATCTCCGCTATTACCACCCAGGTCAAAGCCTCTATCCATCTCTTTGCTTGAATTAATGTAATCATCTCCTACCTGGTATTCCTACTAAAGCCTTGCCCTGCTCACATGCCCACCCAAACGGTGGTTTTCCATACAGTAGCTACAGTGATCCTTTTATTTATTTATTTATTTTTTAAATTTTATTTATTTATTTTTTCCCCCAAAGCCCCAGTAGATAGTTGTATGTCATAGCTGCACATCCTTCTAGTTGCTGTATGTGGGATGCGGCCTCAGCATGGCCGGAGAAGCGGTGCCTCAGTGTGCACCCGGGATCCGAACCCGGGCCGCCAGTAGCGGAGCGCACGCACTTAACCGCTAAGCCACGGGGCTGGCCCCTACAGTGATCCTTTTAAAATGCTAAGTTAGATCATATCAACCATCTGTTCAAATTCCTCCAATGACTTTCTTACTCAGAGTAAACTTCCTTTCTCATGGTCTAGACTCTATAGGCATTTAATTTATTGCCTGTACTATACAACTATTCAAACACAAATTCAGATACATGGTAACTTATCTATTAGAATAAAGCTAAGAACCAGATCATAGTATGGTGGTTCAGGGGTGTACATCACAATCTTCTAAGAATTTTTTTTTTTTTTTAGAAATATACAAGCTAACAAACGCAAAAATAAACATATGGGACTACCTCAAATGAAAGAGCTTCTACACAGCAAAGGAAACCAGCAACAAAATGAAAAGGCAACCTATGGAATGGTAGAAAATATTTGCAAATCATACATCTGATTAGAGGTTAATATCCAAAAGATATAAAGAACTCACACAACTCAATAGTAAAAAAACCAAACAATCTGATTAAAAAATGGGCAGAGGATGGGTTCAGATCCCGGGCGCACACGGACGCACCGATTCTCCGGCCATGCTGAGGCCGCGTCCCACATACAGCAACTAGAAGGATGTGCAACTATAACATACAACTATCTACTGGGGCTTTGGGGAAAAAAAGGAGGAGGACTTGCAATAGATCTTAGCTCAGAGCCGGTCTTCCTCAGCAAAAAAGAGGAGGATTAGCATGGATGTTAGCTCAGGGCTGATCTTCCTCACAAAAAAAAAAAAATGGGCAGAGGAACTGAATAGACATTTTTCTCAAGAAGACATATAGATGGCCCACAGGTACATGAAAAGGTGCTCAACATCCCTAATCATCAGGGCAATGCAAATCAAAACCACAACGAGATATCACCTCACACCTGTTAGAATGGCTGTCATCAAAAAGACAAGAGAAAACAATATTGGCAAGGATGTGAAGAAAAGGGAACTCTTGTGTACTGTTGATAAGAATGTAATTTGTTGTAGGCACTAGTGAAAACAGTATGGAGGTTCCTCAAAAAATTAAAAACAGAACTACCATATGATCCAGCAATCTCACTTCTGGGTATATGTCAAAAGAAATGAAAACAGGATCTGGAAGAGATATCTGCATTCCTATGTTCATTGCAGCATTATTCACAGTAGCCAAGATTTGGAAACAACCTAAGTGTCCATCAATGGATGAATGGATAAAGATGTGGTATATATACGCAATGGAATATTATTCAGCCGTGAGAAAGAATGAAATCCTACTATTTGCAACAATATGGATGGACTTTGAGAGAATTATGCTAAGTGAAATAGGCCAGACAGAGAAAGACAAATACTACATGTATCACTTATACGTGGAATATAAATAAACGGTCAAACTCATGGAAACAGAGTAGAAAAGTGGTTGCCAGGGGTGGGAGGTGGGGGAAATAGGGAGAGACTGGTGAAGGGGTACAAACTTTCAGCTATAAAATGAATAAGGTCTGAGGATCTGATGTATAACATGGTGACTATAGTTGACAACACTGTACTGCATAAGCGAAATATGCTAAAAGAGTAGAACTTAAATGTTCTAATTAAAAAAAAGATAAACGTGCAGTGATGGATGTGTTAATTAACTGGATGGGAAAAATCCTTTCACAATGTATACATATATCAAATCATCACAACGTACACTGTAAATATCTTATAATTTTATTTGTCAATTATACCTCAATAAAGCTGAAAAAAAAAGGAGAGAGAAAAGTCCTTAAAAAAAAAAAAAAGGCAATATGCATGGCAGACTTACAGAATCAGGACCTTTGGGGTTCAGTCCTAGGCATGCTTACTTTGAACAATTCTCCAAATGATTTTGCTGTAACCCTAGTTAAAAACTGCTGATTTTATAGAATGGAACTATCAGGAGGTGTAGATTATACTCCTTGATTGCCATTCATTATCCCCAATATCTTTGGGCCTTAGTTTCTTTAAATGAAGGAGTTGTATTATGTGTATTATGTGGCTTTGAAATAATAAAAAACAAGATAGCCTGGTAGTTAAAATAGATGTCATAAAATGCAGTAAAACTCACATACTGTATTTAATAGAATGCTTCACACTTTTTACTTATTCCCAATTTTTCTGTTCAAATCCTTTTGTCTAAGGAAAAGTTTAAGTAAATAAGATACTCTACAGATAGGCAAATTGACATTAAGAGAAGACAATTATCAACTGATTGACAACAGAGGATAGGACAGAAAAACAAGAATAGCAAAGTCATAGCAGTTGGGGACCATTTTGGATAATGGAAATTAATCCTACATATTGTGATAAAAAGTATCACTATGTTGCTATATGGCACAAACAACTGATCACACGTGATCATGCTAAGGCATCAATAAAAAGGTTAAACTACATGAGTTCTGTTTAAGAAAACGGGGAAATGTATATTTTAACAAGATTTCCAAGCAAAACCTCTGAAAAAGAAACAATACAAGGTGTTATAAGTAGTCAGTTATCTGTTATCAAAAAGCTCAGCCACGTTGGTGAAGATTTCTTCATCCTGCTTCCCTGCCCTGTGCCCTAAAACCAATCAGGGCGGGTTAGGCACTCCTCCTAGTTGCTCCCGTAACACCTTGTACACCTCTATCATTTCACTAACCACACCGTCTTATTTATCTGCTGACATCTCTCCTATTAGACGATGAGTGTAAGGACAGGGATTATGTATTATTCATCTTTGTAGGCCTAGAAAATAGCATAATACCCAGCA